AAACATCGCATTGTTACTGAAACTGTTGAAGGTAAAACTCCAGGAATTCTGGAGTAAGCCTTTCTGCCAGTTTTACCTCCCAATGGAAGACGTCTGAAACCCACTGGATGGGTTGCTGGGTGAAACCGGAAATAAACACAATGAAACACACGTAACGCCTATACCAGGAATCGAAACCAAGCTCTCTCCAGCCGAAGTTAGTCCCCTGAATGATTTTTCCATAATCGCGTAAAGGGCTCCCGAACCTTACCTCATTAACATTTGAAAATTCGGTTCTTTCTTCCCAGAAAAAAAACACCTATCCCCACTCAAAAATCAGTCGGGTTATGTTTAGGGAATTGGCCACTGTTTACTGTGAAGACTCGAAAGGCACACGTAAATATATGCGACGGTTCCACCTCCCAGAAAACACGTGACATCTCTGTTACAGAGGCCGGTCAGTTAATCATAATAGCTGTTTTCTGGGTTTTGTTCCTTATGTAGTACAGATAAAATAATTTTTTGTGAAGGTTAAAATTTCCCGACAGCGCCTGAAGGATTAGAGGTGGGTTGCACGGGTAATCAATTGGACATCCTTGTCTGACTGTAGTCACAAGAAAGAAAAAGTTCTCTTATCGCCGCTGTTTGGTTTTAATTTCAGTGAAGATGTGTTTTATTCTCTGCGGAATGGATGTGAAACCTGGCAGCTGTTCATTTGCATAAACTAAAGGAACTAACTGCCTCGGGCCATGCAAGTTTCTGTAGGCTACTGTGGGGGGATGAGGGGGGGGGTAATTCTCATGGTGTGGTCTTCTGCATTATGATACCATGTTGCAATCTGGTGTGTAAGCACCATCGTTTGAAAGGAACACATTTCCTGCAGTTATACTCTGAAGACTCTTATACTCTGAAGACAGAGGCAGTGCGTTGCTCCGAAACTTTCTTCTCAACCTACCAGACTACAACACAATGTTCCTGCTTCCATCTACATCGTTCAGGAGACATTAACCCTGAAGATAGAGACAGTATGTTCTCCCGACATATTGGTACTCTCCTACAAGATTACGCAGTGTCATAACTCAGAAAATTATAGTAGAAATCTTCACTGCCGTGGATACATGAAGTGTAATACGAAAAGTGACATTTACCTGGGTGGTATTGTATCGCAGCGTTTGGTGTATAGGGGTCGTGACAGTAAAGCAACAATCTTTCGATCCCGACATGTTGTGAGCAAATGTAAACATAACGGCCGTGCCATAGCTCAGGCGATTAGTCGCTGGCTTCCCACCGCGGCGGCCCGGGTTCAAGCCATGGTCAGGCAATGTGGGATTGTTGTGTTGAGAATGTTTGGACCGAAGAGAGATGAAGTGACAGGAGGTTGGAGAAAACTGCATAATGAGGAGCTTCATAACTTGTACTCTTCTCCAAGTATAATTAGAATGATCAAGTCAAGGAGGATGCGATGGGCAGGGCATGTAACATGAATGGGGGCGAAGAGGAATGCTTATAGGATATTGATGGGAAAGGCAGAAGGAAGGAGACCACTAGGAAGAACAACGCATAGGTGGGTGGACAATATTAGAATGGATCTTAGAGAGATAGGATGGGATGGTATGGATTAGATTGATCTGGCCCAGGATAGGGACCAGTGGAGGTCTCTAGTGAACATGGTAATGAACTTTCGGGTTCCATAAAATGTTGAATAGTTCTTGAGTAGCTGCATAGCTGGCGGTTTCTCAAGAAGGGCTCAGCTCCATGAAGTTATTTAGTTCTTAGATTACACTTATGTGTTCTGCTTTGCATTTCGAGCAGCTGACAGGTGGAATCTAGTGAGATGTGCAGGTAATTTTCTGCAACGTGACAGTGTCGCCGAACCGCGCAGTAATCGGTAATACCCGTAAGACCTGAGTGGATCACAATGTTTGGACCAAATTATCCATCGTCACGAAGCCCATGTTATCGTGACGAAATCAGTGGGGGAGGAGAGGGGGTGAGAACGCCTTGCTCTAGCGAGGCTGTAGCTGTCATTTGGCCTTGTTTCGTTTCTGGTGCAATCAATTCTGACGACATTGTGGGAAGCCACACAGAACTTCAGCTTGCTGTCTCACAAACCAGCTATTTACCTAAATAACATTGACTGTTGGTCTTTCTGTGGAAGACGCATTGTGTTATCTGTGAAGCAGAAACAGAATTTATATGTATTCATATAAATTTCGGGCTTTAAGGGGGTTTGAAGTCCGATTCATACCTGCAAGAAAACACTCAGCATCATCATCACTCAGGGACTGTTGATGGTGTGAAGTTTCCAGAATGGTATTATGGCACCGTGGTCTGGTTGGTCGATACTGACGTTTCGGAGAACACACTGCCTTGACTCTGAATGTGGATGCAGTTATGTTACCCTCCTAGAGTTCCACGAGATGTCACGAGCAAGAATACCAAAATATGAAGGAACACTGCCATGACGTTTGTGAGGATAGAGACTGAAAGTTACTCCGAAATGTTGGTACCCACATAAAAGGATACGGTTCAGAAAAGGTAGGTAGTTAGTTAGTTATTAGAGAGGGTGGGTTTCCCCATGCACTTAGACCTGTAGTGGTCCATTGTGCTTCTCTCTATGATTTCTACCAGCCTCTATATCCTACCGGTATTGGTGCTTACCATCAGTCCCGCCCAGTCAGCAAGACCGGCTCTACTGGCTGAGAAGTATCTATAATGCTTCCCCCATCTACCAGAGGTATTAGTGACTGCTGTTGGGCGGCAAACGTCCGCAATTTTGGCTCAGTGACCTCCTTTGGAGGTATGAAGTTCTTTTACGTGCCGTAAAGCTACGACACGGGACCCACGGCTTGAAGTCCCTCCCGGAGGACTTGTTCCCTGAATTTTTCCGCCCTTAAAAATTCGACGACCTCCGCCGGGTATTTGAACCCGCGTACTACGAGTCATGAGGTGGGAACGTTACCTCTAGACTACGGAGGCCGCTTTTCAGAAAAGGTAGCTGTGGAGGCTCATAGGGTTGTGAGAGTTCGAGGCCCCCACATTTTCCAGACAGCCAGACCTACGCGCGCGGCCGCCCTTTACCCCCAAGGAAGATTCCTGGTGCTCATTTATGTTAGAGGCTGAGTCGACCCCAGGTCGAATGAGACGATGATTGCGCATGATGAACTGTGACATACGATATGAAGTGGTCATGGAATATTTAATGCACTATTGGAACATTTGGCTGCAGAGACCTGGGATGTGAACCGGAACTATCGGAAGGAGCGCACCGCACTGCATATACAGTAGGGCAAGCTGAAGAATTGGTTTGCAAAATGTTGCTCAACGGGATATTTCTCTGTAAGTACAGTCTGTTGGGGTATGGCAGATACTCAGTTCGAAATCCGTCCAATATCTATATATTCTCCCTGAAGATTTCAGTGATTGTACTCAGTTCCTCCAGAATAATTTTATCACACATCCTGTAAGTTGTCAGCGACTGTTTGCTTCGTTGCCTCTTTCGATTCGTCATTCATAATAATTTAGTACCTTATTTCATAAGCTCTGCAATAAATTGCTTTAATGTTAACGCATGGGGAAACACGTCATGTGTAGGCTGGATTCTCTTAATGCTTTGAAAACTGAAATTCATCCATAACTTCTAACTTCATGGAGCGGTGCCCTTCTTGAAAAGCCGCTAGCAATGCAGCTACTGAAGAACTTCCCAGCACTTTATGGAACCCGAAGGTTCATTGCCGTGTTCACAAGAGCCCTCCACTGGTCCCTATCCTCAGCCAGATCGATCCAGTCCATAACATCCCATTCTGTCTCTCTAAGATCCATTTTAATATTGTCCACCCACCTACGCCATGGTCTTCCCAAAGGTCTCTTTCCTTCTGGCTTTCCCACCAATATCCTATATGCATTCCTCTTCTCCCCCATTCGTCCTACATGTCCTGCCCGTCTCATTCTCCTTGACTTGATCATTCTAATTATACTTAGCGAAGAGTACAAGTTATGAAGCTCCTCATTATGCAGTTTTCTCCAACCTCCTGTCACCTCATCTCTCTTCGGTCCAAATATTCTCCTCAGCGCCCTATTCTGAAACACCCTCAGTCTATGTTCCTCCCTTAATGTCAGAGACCAAGTTTCACACCCATACAGAACGAAATTCGTCTAAACAGTATTTAAAGTTTCAGTTCCTACCTCATGGGAAACACTCTGCGTCTCCATTACAAACATCAGCGAGGGTCATGCAAAACAGATATAGTTTAAAGTATATAGTATAGTATACCGCAAGTGGTATGTGATGTAAAGGGTTCTCGCTACATGCGTGTTATGTGACATGCTTCATATTCAGTTCAAATCACACTCGAAATTGAGATTTCGCATAGTTTTTCTCTATACTTTCTTGCCGAGACCACCGCGTCCCTTCACAATCGTCATATCCTGTGAGTACAACAATTGAGCGGTTGATATGACGCAGTTAAATAACGTGAAAGACACGAGGGAACGCCACTTCTTTTCTATACAGTGTGTATAATATTGCCATGTTGTATACACGAAGTTATTAGTCCGACCAGCGCGTCTCTCAACTATTGCTAGATCACCCGATACATGGTTCACAAGCATCGGTATTACTTTGTAAATGCCCCACTGTGACCTCCGTTGTGTGAGTTGCCGGTTTTCCTACAGTTCCCAGTTGTCACCTAATCTCATATCTAAACTACGCAACTTACACACTTGACAGGGCGTCATAGAGTGGCCAAAGATATAAACAAACAGCACATCATTCTGAACACTGATTATGTCTCACTGTGATCATATTAATGCGAGTTATCGATTAGTATCGATTTATATATTATCCATAATTGTCGTCTACTATTTTTGGACTATGTGCTTGGCTCAGCTGGTGTAGCGTCGTTGAATATCCAAACACACGAACAAAGATCACTTTTTTTTCTATGTAATGACTTGGAATATTCCCCAGAAATTTATTTTGTTATACTTGAGTCATCGACAGTATCGATGTTGTGTCCTACCTCCGACGAGAGCAGTGATTCCCAGTAGCGCTGCTGCGGTGCCGGAGGAATGGACCATCCCTCCGCGGGGCGTGTATGCTGGAGTCGCTCTCTCTACCAGGCTTTCAGTCTCCGTTCAGTCACTGTGTGTACGCGACGAGTTCGCGGCGAGCCGGTGGCGAAACCACGGCACTCCGCGCATGCGCACGCCGACATCTCGATACTGATCGATACCAAGCACAATTCTCGATACGACTCGACGTGTAAACTCGATAGGATTGTAGACACCCGTTACGAAGTGTGTGTAATGTTGTGTAAACGATATGCAGTGGGTCGTAGAAACCAGACTTTAAAAGTTATTTCGTAGAGCCGCCTTGTAACGGGTTAGCACTTCACAGCACAGTGTAATGCACCGCCATCATTAAAATCTCGGCGTTTTGCCCACACAGTGTGCTTATGTGTTTCGTACAAGTCTGAGATTAAACAACGATTATTTCCCTAAGTATTATGCAGATAGACTTCATGCTTGGAAGCGTTAGGACAGCAGTTCGGTAGATATATCGAAGCACGTTGTAACGTTATGTAGATATTTTGAATTGTTTCATTTTTGGTCCGTTACACTATCAATCACAAAGTCAATAGAAAGTCCGTCGAGTGTAACAATTTTTTAGGTCACTTCTTTATCACTTTTGCCATACATGTTTCGGTTTAATAAAACCATCATCAGAGGCACATAGTACAATCATGAAAACACTGGCGTTGTTTAAATGTACACAGTATATATGCTGCGTGGACGCTGCTACCATATGTCGATGTGTAAAAGCACAACACTTGCTAGATTATTGAATGCACGTTCAACTCTCACATTCCATCCGAAATTGCCCTCAAGTTAAAACGTCAATGTTAAAATATTTAAAAGTTTAAAACATTTGAAGTAAAATGTTAGGCTCCTCCTTGTTAATTCATCCCGATGATGGGAGATGTCAGCTTGAGGTTGTATAGGCTTATGTTTAGATGTTTCCTATGCGTTGTGTGTTGTGTGTGTATCTGATGATGGTTTTATTAAACCGAAACATGTAAGGCAAAAGTGATAAAGAAGTGACCTAAAAAATTGTTACACTCGACGGACTTTCTATTGACTTTGTTATGTAGATATTTTCCCCATAATTATTGGCTACGCACGAATAGCGCCTAACAAGATGCACGCTATTATAGGCGTTCTTTTCTTCTCGTGGTGTCGTATGAATGAAGTATGAAGATCGTAATGTAATTTTGCTGTACCAGTCTACAAGAATTTGTTTTCACTCCGGTGTGCATGGGGCGTAACAAATGATACCTCGGTCAATACAGTGGCCAGGTCACGGGATGAACGACCAAGGAATCGGGGTTCTATTCCCATTAGCTTCAGGTGGTTTTCATCTTGTCTTCAGCTTGCAAACCGACTCTTGGGGCCCGCATGGCCTCCTGTCTAGTGGGTACCGAGGGGTGAAGAGGACCTTTCACCTAATATACGAGTAATACCCAGGTTATTATACGGAGCTGTACATCCACTCGCCATGCGTTTTCGTGGTGTGGTGCTTAATTAAACACGGAAATAATTTTTCCGTTGCCTATTAGTATTATAAATACAGAATTTAATCGAATTATTGTTATTTTAAGTGGAGTAGCTTGGTGAGTATAGTGACTAGGCTAAAAGCTGGATGACCAGTGTTCAATTCCCTGCAGGAGTAAAGATTTTTTGGGGGCTTCTCAGCTCCCAGACCGGAAGTAAACGTTGTGCGTTTTCTCTCTCTTATACTGTTGCTTAATCAAGATGTCTTCTTGTATGTGCTCCACTCCTCCCATGAGTATGGGTTCACTGTAGCGGCGTCATTGATCGCCTTGGCGCTGTAGCGGCTTGCGGAGAAATCCTACAACTGCCTGTTAGCTGGATAGATATGCTGGACGGGAAATGTTCACTATTTGCTGTTATTCATATCTGTCAAGGTTGTCCAAAGTACAAGCCGAGAAAGTAAGAATTCATTACTGCTAAAATGCAGTTATACGACTTGTATCCTGAAGATGGAGGCAGTATGTTCCTCCGAAACGTTGATACCACCTGCCAGATTACGATATAATAGTAGTAGTATCCCAGCATTTGTCCAAAGGGAATGAGAATAATTGAGAAAAGGGATGGTGAAGATTCGGCATGATAAATGTGAATTGTTTCAGTTTGTCATCTTCTTGGCAGTCATTCCAGTAAGAGATGAACCAGTCATGAAGTATCCTTGAAAAAAATGAAAGTATTTTTTAAATCTTTGTTATAGAACCCTCAGGATAGGGACCGGTGGAGGGCTCTTGTGAACACGGTAATGAACCTTCGGGTTCCATAAAATGCTGGGAAATTCTTGAGTAGCTGCAGTTTGGCTTCTCCTCAAGAAGAGCTCAGCTCCATGAGTATAAGTAAGTTATAGAGAACTTCGTGAAAATAAGGCGCATTAAGGCCAATGTGTGCACTATACTACTACTACTACTACTACTACTAATGGCTGTACAGCCCAGTTTGGGCCCTGGCCGCGTCTTTCAGTTTCTTAATCTTATACACGGTCAATGGGACTCCTTAGGCAACAATACAAACACAATATCAACGTAGACATCCATGCCTCGAATTGGATTCGAACCCACGATCCCAGTGTTTGAGCGGGCGAAGACATTTAATGCCTTAGACCGCGCGGCCACTGTAACCTCGGCCCAGTATGAACACGAAAGAATCGTGTTAAAATGGACCTCTTCATTGCCTTATATTGCTTGACTCTGGATTTGAACTGTTGGATTGACAACTCCCATGTGTTCCAGAGGCCCGCAGTCACGGCGTCGGATACTACGGTTTCTCGCAGGACGAGGCGGAACGGCGCGCTCAACAGGATGCCCTGTCAAAGTTGCGACAGGAGACGCAGCGCGAACAGGTGGCCGCCCAGGGACTCCGGGAGAGGCGTCAGCAGCAACTTCAGGCCAGGCTGAAGGCCGCTCGACAAAGGAAGAGGACCCGCCTGGGTCTGCCTCCTCAAGAGGACGGTAAGATTCTGTCTGTAAGACATTTGCGAACTGTAGTCGGAAGTTTCTGATGAACTCGTAAACTACAGGAGCAATGCATGAACGGGGTGGACCAAGTTCTAGTGGAAATTTGGTTTTACATTCATGTAATATAATTTAGTGAGGATCATAACTAATTGATCATGTACTGTTGCAAGAACTGGTTGAAATGCTTAATAATTTTTATGGCTATATGTGTCTGATAGTGGGTAATTATGAACATCAGCAACCTAACGTAAATCTATACAGTCTTATGTTGAACAGACAAAGACTAGCAAGTGTAGGCGACTTATTCGGCAAAATTCGAGTGACGTTCGGAGCTAAGTGGTAGTGATGTGTGATGAATTCTTGTTTTGAGAACATGGAAATTTGCTCAACTCTACATACTATCGGCATTTTTCTGTAAACTCACGTAAACCATATAAAGGAATTCAAGTTTTCAAATGTTTTAATACTATGCATATTTTGAAAGTCTTGTAATGTATTTCGAATAATGGAATTTTCGAAAATTTTGAGAATTTAAAACCCATTTTTAAAATGAAGGTTTCCGAAATTCGCTCAAATGTCGAAATCTCGGAAAATCGAAAACTGGTTGAATTTGAAAGTCTTAATTTTTTCCAAGGTTTGAAAATATTTTAATATCTGAGGAGAAATTTCAAGGGAATAAACTCCTCCATCTGATGAGTACGAGTTGGTGGGATGCGTTAATATGGTCTGAATACAGGTTCACCGAACCTAACGCTGGGAATAAGTGGATGCGTAGTGGTATGTTTCGCAAACCCAACGTAACATTGCTGAATCTCAGCAAGTGCTATCCCATTGAGGAGGGAGGTGCGCTGTCGGATGCGCAGTGGTGCTGCTCCAAGCTTATTGCTACAGTTATGTCTCCCACCTCATGACTTTGTGCATCCGCTGTGTTTTTATTACTGATTCTAATAAATTGAAAGTGGTTGCTTTGGAATGGCCTTAAGTGGCATATCATCCATGCCAAGATTCATGAAAATCAGCCAAGTGTTACGGAATGTGCGTTTCAGGGAACCATGATGGATATTGCCTGTGGGTTCTGGTCCAATGTGTGTAAACGAATTTAATTGAAAAGCATGTCCACAGAAAGTATTTACAGCTAATATTCGATATGTTAATCGATATTTGTTTGTATATTTTTATGTTGACACCACAAGGTGGAAATTCTGGATGCTGAAGTTGGTACATGCGGACCCACAAGATGGTCGACCAGAATTCGTACTGGACGCCAAAGTGCAAATTATTTAAATAATTGTGTTCAGTTTTAAGTATAGAGACAGTGTGTATGCGGAATTATGTGTTCACAGTAAAGTTAAATTTAATCTCAGTATATTACTTTCTATGAAATACATTTTTTAATTAATGCCATATATAAATACAAACCACTCCATCCAATGTGACATATAAGTTTTTACTACGTGAAAACTTATCTCCCCCTACATGTTTCGGTCGTTACGGACCATCTTCAGAAGGAACATCATTACAAACTGGAAACATGTAAGGGAGATAAGTTTTCACGTCACAAAAACTTATATGTCACATTGGACGCAGTGGTTTGTATTTATAATTGTTAGTGTGACGGACCAGAATGAAACAAATCAGATGCCATATATTTAGTTCAGTGCTGGAGGAATATGTACATAATTTTTAAAACATAATGTGCATGTATGTTTTGAAAGAATGATATTGCATTAGATGTGTAAGTATGAAGTCTGGTGGCATGTTGTAGTGATTGTGATCATGGTGCAACTATCTAACGGATGATGTAGGTAATATATCTGCCGCTTTGCTTTCAAGAGTTATTTTGTGGTTCTAAAAGGCCCCTCTGTAAACAAAAGCATCTGTGCCCTGTCTGTGTTGCAGATCCAGAGGAAGAGGCAGAACCAGCAGAAAGTGAGAAGCAGGAGACTTTGGATCCTGACCCAAAACCAGAACCAGCAAAACGGAAACCGCCGCAAGTTCGGCCATGGGACATTGGCAAGGATGGGGTGAAGGAGGGTGAGTTGGTGGTATATTGTTTTAATTAATCACTTCTAATTTATATGCAAGTATATATGGTTGTATTATATACTGCTATGTTCATTCACAGGTTATATATCTAGGTTATGATAATTTCTCTCTCTCTCTCTCTTGGATGGGGAGGGTATTTCTTGTAATAATTAAAAGTACAAACTAACCTCTCATGANGTGCTATTAGCCCCATTCAGCCAATGAGGTCGGCCCTCGGTACCCGATGCTTCCCCCATCTACCAGAGGTATTGGGAACTACTTGGGCGGGAAACTTGCCTAATTTTGCTCAGAGGTCTCCTAGAGACACGGGACCCATGGCTTAAAATCCCTCCCGGAGGACTTGTCCCCTGAATTTTTCCACCCTTAAAAATTCCACGACCTCCACCGGGTTTGAACCCGCGTACCTTGAGTCATGAGGTGGGAACGTTACCCCTAGACTACGGAGGCCCCTACCCCCCCTCTTAAATCTTGCCCTATTAATTCATTGTTTAATTATAAATTGTATTTGAGCATATGTTTGTTGTAAAATGGAGATCCTTTGTTTGCAAGCAGACATACTCTTACTTCGCCTGGAATGATCTTTTGTTGTAAATTTCATAGTATATAGTAGCAAATGCTATATGGAAGGAATAATATTAAAATTAAGCGATCAGAATTTGTCTGTGTCTTTAAAATAAAATTGGGAATAAGTATCAAATTACATCCCAGAACTCCACCACAATATTTTTACATCACTTAAACAACCATGGTTACTGGAGTGGTGGAGTAAATTTCATAATATCTTTTTGATTTGTGTTTCTTCAGCTCTTTATTTTCTTATTTGTTTTTATACATACACTTCTATTTATTTATCCAGATATTGAGTCAGCCAGTCATTGATTGGACTGACATACTAGGTGAATGTATTTCACTCAGTTGTTGACTCAGAATATATATTTTATGTCTCTCATTGTTATTAATAGTAATATGTATGCCATGTTTCAGTAATGTCACAGGAAGAGTGGGTTGAAAAGAAGCGTTCTGAACGCCCACAAGATTTTGCACCACCATCTTCATATCAGCCTGACTTTGCCCCAAATTCTGCTGCAGTGGTGCCAGAGAAACCAAAACTAACGTTATTCTTCTCATCAAGGAAACCTCAGAATACTTTCAGAAATACTGGCACAAAGAGCTCAAGCATCAGGGATGGGCAGTGTGGTGAAGACCTCACTGCACGTGGAAGAGAAATTGATGTTCAACCCCTTGCCTCATTTTGTGATGACAGATCATCATCAGGTGATGCTAAGGGGCTTTGGGGAAGCAGATTACATCATAGAGATGTGTCGGACACCAAACAGGATGTATGTGGTAAAGGGGCAGAGATTCCACCACCTGCAACATTTGAATACTATGGACCATCCTTCACTGGAGCAGGACAGAGTCAAAGTAATCACAGGATGATTGATCTTGAGAGCTCCATCACAGCAGGTCTCAAGTATCTTCGCCAGCAAGCAGAGCAGCGAGAACATCAACAAGAGAAAGGTCTGCTTGACATAGTTTAGCTGAAGTTGAACTCCATATTTGGGCATGGTCTAGGTTGAAGTACCAATCTTTCAATTGGATGGCAATAAGTAATGCCATAGTGATGTGCAATAGAAAACCAGGAAATGAGTGATATGTGTATATGCAAGCTAAAGTTTCAACAAGTTCAGGGAGAATGAGAATTACTTACTGTATAGAGTGCAAACAAGAGAATATGTATTGGGTTAAAAGTTATATAAAGAAAGATATTAAAGGTGTTAAGTGATGTATTTTATGTATGCTCATAATGGACACTTCTACAGTTATGTTTTCAAAAGATGCATAGAGTTCAGATAACTTTTTCATTCTCTTTTAGACATCATATAATGTTTATCGTCTGGGAGTAGAGGAATTATATTACCCTGTTTCTGCAGGGGATGGTGGCCAGATTAATTTTAACTCTGTGCTAATGGTATTACGTGGGGCAATCCAAAAGTTTCCGAAATTTGAATTTGCGCGTGAATGGTTATGAGCACATCGAAATACCGCTAGATGTCTCCTCACACATCCTTCTTGAATCAGTGTGGCAAGCGGCGTCGAGTTGAGTGGTTGGGTTTATTGTTGGTGAACGTATTTCCATTGTTGTGTTTCTGTGAGTTTGCAGTTTTGCGATGGCTGTCCTGAGAGAGCAGCATGTCTGTATAAAGTTTTGTTTCAAATTTGGGAAAACTGCTGCAGAAACACACCAAATGTTGAAGCAAGCTTTTGGTGAAAACAGTTTAGGCCAAACAAACTTACAACTGGTATAAGCGTTTTAAACATGGCCGAACATTGACTGATGATGACGATAGTTCGGGACGGCCGTCAACAGTCAAAACACCAGAAAATGTTGCGAAAGTTAGGGATCTGATTCTGCAAGATCGTAGACTGACCATCCAAGACCTCTGTAACACCTTGGGACTAATTTATGGTACATGTCAACAAATTTTGTCATAGGAACTGAACATGAGGATTGCAGCAAAGTTTGTGCCACGACTGCTGCAAAATGAACAGAAGCAGCATCGCTTGGAAGTCTGCAGGGAACTTCAGCAACAGCTTCAAGAGGATCCAAACTTTCTTTTGAAGGTTGTGACTGGTGACGAAAGTTGGGTTTATGGCTACAACCCTGAAAAAGCAAGCAGCAGTCGTCACAATGGAAGAGCCCTTCTTCACCTAGGCCAAAAAAAGCTCGACAAGTCAAGAGCAACATTAAGTCCATGTTGATCTGTTTTTTTGATATTGACGGGATTGTTCATAAGGAGTTCGTCCCTCCTGGTCAGACAATCAATAAAGAGTTATATCGCGATGTTCGAAGGCGTTTGAGGGAGGACATGGGGAGAAAACGTCCAGAGAAGTGGCGCACGAACGACTGGGTACTCCACCATGACAACGCACTACCGCATACGGCTTGCATTGTGCAGGAATTTTTGGCTAAAAACAAGATGGCAGTTGTTCCCCACCCACCATACTCGCCAGACTTAGCTCCATGTGACTTCTTTCTCTTCCCCAAGATGAAAATCAAGTTGAAGGGGCAGAGATCTGATACAGTTGAGGAAATTCAAGTGGAAACGCAGACGGTACTAAACATCCTAACAAAGAAAAACTTCCAGGATGCATTTTTAAAGTGGCAGAAACGCTGGGATCGGTGTATGCGCTCCCAAGGGGACTACTTTGAAGGTGATGGTGCAGAATAAGATCCAGGTAAGATGTAATAGTTTTTATTAATATATTTCGGGAACTTTTGGATTGCACCACGTATAACCATCTAATCAATCTAACATCGTCCTTGGGGCGGCATTAGCCAATGTGTGGATGGATAAGGATAGGTAACTCAGGTGGTAAAAGTTTTACTCTGTCTCAAGGGTCGTATTAACGGGGAAACATCATCATCCCACACAAGCCACAATGATTAACACTGATGGTAAGTGTATTTATTTTACTTCACCAGTTTATATTTTTAACACAGTTTGTTCGCAGAAGCATTGAGGTGTAATGATGTGCTCAATTTCTACCTCACATCAATTTAACCACTATTGGTATTAATTTATTATAACAAATTTATAAAGTTGCTAAACACATCCATTGACTGGTGAAGTTGAAGCCAAAAGCCTCCCAGGATGACTCATACTAAGCAACGCATCACCTCCAAGCAGCAGTGCTCAACACTAACATCAGTTCCTCACTGCCAACTGGCTGAATTCAAACAGAGTTCCTCACCCCTACATCAGATATCAGATGTAGGCATTCCTGTTGGTTAAAACCAACGAAAGTCATGTCATTGTATGCAATGGATTTCCACATCTGGAAGCCATCTGCTCCTACCGGCTTGACCCCTCTCAACTCGACTTATTGTGGCAGAAATTGCCTTGCGCTTTGTGCTCAGATTTCTTGCTCTAGCTCCAACAGAAGATTTCCTAGCTCTGTGACATACTTGCTTACTTCAAGCCCAATTAATAAATCAAAATCAAAATACAGACAAACGATTAAATATGCCTATAATTTTAGGCAGGTGCAAAATGTGGCATTAGGCCAGCTGGACCTGTGGATTCACTGCTAGAGTAGTGTGATACATGGCAAACAAAAGAAACAAAGAAACAAAATTTCCAGCACAGACAATGTATGTCACAGACAGAAAAAACTTAAGAGCTGAAATCACTGTGAATCTGTGTTGTAGGACTTCATTAATTTAGCGATTCTTCTGAAATTTACCTTTTCATCACCATGTCCGACAGATGTGTAAAAACTGTTGCAGCCATATGTTTCAAATGAAACTACTTACTGAATGATAAACATTGGCAAATAACCAAATAAAACTGTGATGTAGTTCCCATGGAATAGTCTGCTTATGTGACCATTTCAGAAATATCCTTTTACAAAACCTGAATGCTCATCACAGTCACTACAAAAGCTTACCTATCCAGAACCAATATATTAGTCCATATATTCACAACTTGTGTAAGATCTCTGTTAAACTCTTTCCTTGTTAGTTTTCTAAAGCTACTGGCATGCCATCCAGATAGAGTCTAGTCAAAGCAAATGAAATTGAACTTACAAAGATGCTGCAAAGACAGAATTTCTGTATCCCCCCTCCATCACACTGCATGAGTCAGTTCTGGTGAAGCTGTGGGTCTCCATTTACAATATCTTAATGAGTCAATACTAGACTTATTTTGGTGCACCAGTAGTAGTCTAAGGAAGCTACTTATGCTTCATGAGCCCTCATTGCACAGACTGCTCTGCTCACAAGCGGTAACTGCCTGTCTTCTGGGATGTAATGCCATGTAGTCCACTGAAAATGAAGTGAAGTTTTGGAGGAACATGCCGAGCAAGAAATCAGCATGGAGCATGCAATGAGCAAAGCAAAACACTATATCAGAGAAGAGAGAACTTTTCATAACCGCTGCTGTGAGAACCTCAAATCTTACATGCAGATTGTGGTATCTGGCTGTTGGGGCATGTTGGAGGAACATAATGACTTCCATCTGTAGGCCCAGTCCCTTAGGGTATAAGCTTTTCCTGTTGTTCGTGTGATGATCTGTAATGGTAGTTATTTTAACTGTCAGTTCTTCAGTTGCTTGGTTTATAAAACTAGCACGCATAGAATCCCTGTATACATCTGTAAAATGGCATCAGGCGAGTTCCATCAAGTTAAATTTAGTGTCCAGTTTTGTAAGAGGTTTCTTGCACCAAAACTCTACATTACATCCCCTAACCACACTCTATGCCTTTTTAATATTATCACTCATTTAATGCCCTGAGAGTGTTAAGTGATATTTATAAATGCATCATGCAGTTCCTTGTGTAGTTTCCTCATTTGTAGCTTACACAATGTGTCCAGGTTCTGTTAGGACTGTGTTCAATAAAAATATAAAACGTGACTTATTTTCAAAATTTCACTCTTTTTATTCAAAATAGTCTCCTTCTGAATCAGTACATAGCTGGAATCGATTGAAAAGTTTTCGAAAACAGTCACTGCACTCCTTTTGTGGAATCGCATTTAAAACTGAGGTACATTCGCTTTGGTTGTGACAGTCTCCTTTCATCGCCAACATAACTTTTGGGAACAACCAGAAATCTGCTGGAGCCAAATCTGGTGAATACGGAGGACGATCATGGACTGTGATCCCTTTTCTGGCCAAAAAATTCCTTTGGAATCGAAGAAAATGGTTAGCAGTGTCCACTTGACTCTTGCATGCACACTTTCCTTGGTTTCGGCTTCTTTGGGCTCAACCATGCTGCACACTGCCACTTTGTGAGAGGCTCATATTGAAAACACCATGTCTCATCACCAGTAACAATCGATTTTGTAAATTATGTATCACTTTGGGCAGACCGTAACATGTCTTTGCAGTGTTTTTCATCGCCTGACAGCACGTGCGGTACAAACCGTGCACAGACCTTCCGTTTGCCCAAATCCTTGGTCAAAATTCGATGCACAGTACTTTGTAGTATTCCCAAAAGCTCCTCGATGAGTCTTGCAGAAACACATCAGTCTGATGGAAGGATTTCGGTCACTTTTATCACATTTCCTTCAGTGCGACTTGTTCTCGGCTTTGATGCACGTGGATTGTCTTCAATGACCTCCCTGCCGTCATGAAATACAGCATACCATCGAAAAATGTTCGAGCAACTCAGACAAACACTATCGTACACACTTTTCATCTCTTTGTACACTTCTCCGGCTGTTTTGCCTAACTTCAAACAAAATTTGATGTTGGCTCTCTGTTCAACTGCCATTTTCCGACGAGCATCAGAACAGTACTGTTACATTCAAGGTCAGAACACATGATGCAGCAATGCTTGCTCTTTTAAATTATAGACAGCCACAGCTGAAACTTCAAGAATCTTAACACATTGCAGACCGGTTGTTTAAATATTTAAATCACCTTGGGGACTGGGGTTTTTAAGCCTAGCACCCTAACTTGTGCACTGTTCATTTTAAAAATTAATATAAAATCTCCTAATTAATTTTATGAACTAAAATTTTTGGAGAACATTTACCAGAGCTCCTAGAAGTGCTTGCGCGTGAGATATCTCTGGAAACATTCCCCTTTGTGAAGAGGCATCACATCACTATATTTTGGGGGGCCCTGTGGCCCCTGTCACTGTCACTGTCACTTTCACTGAGGCTGGCCTCGCTATCAGAAGACGAAGCTGTTGGCAAATCTGATAGCTCATCGGAGAACAAATCTAATATTTCTTGTTCTCCGAGTGAACACTTCGCCTGCAACTGCTTTCGTCTCTGATTCATGTTGCACTGCTAACTTCCTGGTTCATACGTGGAAGCTTGGACTTGAACAAAGGCTTTTCTCTTTAGGGTGTGATAGGAAATGAGCGTGATCATGTTACTGGCTAAGCTAGCAAACATTCCCAAGGTCAACTACGCAGTAGTTATGATGCAACGTGGCCACACAGCGAAATATAGTCGGTTGCAACATAACACGTCAGAAAAGGGCCAATTGGCCCGCCCAATCCACAACGCTATAGAAACGTAGAGGGCCAATTGGCCCCTCCGGTCCTGAATGTGTTAACACCACAACTCATGAACAGATGGCATAGCAGGGCAAATTTAAAAAAAATGAGTCGTAACATCCTGGACACACAGTGTATGTCACCTGTTATGTATCCCACATTTACCTTCACACTCTGTTTTCAAAAGGGGACATGTGGTAGCATGGTTGAGGTGCTATGCTAAAAGCTGGAAGGTCACAGGTTCAATTCCTGATGAGGTCGTTGGATATTTTTTATTTATGTAATCCTTCCAGCCGCACTATGGCCCCAGGGTCGACTCAGTCTCTAACAGAAATGAGTATCAGGAATCTTACTGGTGGTAAAGGGTGGCTGCCAGCACATAAGGCTGACAAACTCACCGCCATCCATGATCCGATTATCCAGAAAATATGAGAGCCTTGACGTCTCACGACTTCACGGGCTCTTACAGGGATAAAAAGTAAAGTTGTCCCTGTGCTTAACTAATTAAGCACTATGCCATGAAGGGGTATAGGGGAGTAGATGTATAGATCCACATTTTCTTGACTTCGGCACTAGCTGGTGGTGAGTGGTCAACTTCATGCCCCTGCCACTTTACCCCCAGGGAAAGGGTCCCTGGTACACATTGGATAGGAGGTTGGATGGGCCCCAGAATAGGTCTGGACAATATGGAGAAAAGAAAATTCCGACCCTACTGGGCCTCAAACTCCAGCCCGTAGGCAGTTGCTATACCAACTGCGATACTTCAATTTTTTTTTACCTTACCTCTGTTCTCAAACCCTTACCAGAAACGATATAACAACTAAATTTTACCATTTTTGGGGATGTGACGCCATGTAATCTGGTAGACATTTACCAACAATTTGAAGGAACCTGTTGCCTCCATCCTCAGGATACCCGGCTAATCGAATTGTATCGCGTCAAATGATAGGATACTGGTGAATGAGAAATTGGAAAGAATGTAAAATGAAGTAGTCATAGCCTGATTCCTTAATTCATCTGAAGGGACTGAGGAAAACCACTCTGCAACAAATATTAGAATGAGCTTATCAGTGAGGAGCAGATGCAAAGAACAGGCAACATACATGAAAGATGAGAAATCTGTATAACATTTTAGTTGCATAAGCTGAAGGGAAACCATCATCTGGGCAACCTAGGTACGGATGAGAGGGTAACATTAAAACACATCTCTAAAAAACAAATTACAAGGGTGTGAACTGAATTTGTTCGACTCAGAATAGAGGCCATCTGTTGTGAACATAGTAATGATCCCCTGGCTTCCATAAAGGAGAAATCTGTTGCCAGTCTAAGTATTTATTATCTCTTCAAGGACTCTGCTCCTTGGAATTGATTATATTATGAAGTAAATCACATTGTTTAGAGAAGCATCACAAAATTTGACGATTTTATTTACACATAATATATCGTGCATACAGATTAGTAATAACAGCTGAAATTGTACAGGGTCCATCAGATTTCATTAAGACTTTCTTTTTTAATTTAGCACCACTTTCTATCTGTGGGAGTGGGGGTACTATAGTTTGTGCCTTACTGTAATGATGTTAAAAGCATGTCATGAAACACTGGTTGAACGAACATCATGTGTGCTATGGGAACACCTTTTAAAATTATGACTCTACAGCCATTTTGCAATATGTGTTTAGTTGTCATTTCAACATCAACAGGAACAGCAGAGTTCCAGTGTGTCAAACCACTTTAAATTGGGTCCAGCAGTTCAGAACAGCGACAATAAACTTCATGATTATGCTATGCAGAACATTTCCCTGCTGCATTCTTTCACATTCAGGTTGTCAAGCTCCTCTGATTCATCACTGTGTTACTTTTTGTGAGGATATTTGAAGAATAAAGCATTTACAGATCATCCTCAGAACATTCTTCATTTAAGATTCAAGCAACGATTAATTTACAGTGTATACAACAGTAAACAGATTTCTTATGGTAACAGTGGAGTTAAATATTGTAATTTTCAAAGAGTTTTACATGTACCAAAAAAAAAGAGAACTGTAATGCACAAATAATTTGAAGTAAGTTTAATATTATATGTTTCTATATAATTGCCTTTTCATTTACAGTACTGTTACTTAATTTATGAAATGTATAATGCTTTCTGCCAGACCCTATAGCAAAGTGGCACCTTCTTGAAAGCTGACGAGTATGGTCAATGTGTCCAGAAGCATGTGCGGCTCTAGATGGCCAGACCAAACACAGATACGATACAGTACATGGTCTTGTTCTCCCAACGAACTGTGCAGCTGCCATCTGTACTGTTGTCCCAGAAACATGAGCTCGCGGTGTGAAGTCCTGCACCATTCTTCTGCATTATGGTACAGGTCACTGGAATTGAACAAAACTTGGATCACAAACCACAAATATGGAAGTCAGTAAAAGTATCAAAATGGCATATTTGCTTATGGACAGACACCAATGAACACATGGGAGGATAACATTATTTGTGTATTTATTTATGATACATTAAATGGCAGAAATCCTGACCACCTCATACTTCAACTTCAATGGCCAGTTCTATGAACAAACCGATGGTGTGGCAATGGGCTCACCACTTTCTCCGGTCATCTCTAACCTATATATGGAGGACTTCGAGGAGAGGGCACTTGACTTGGCCCCACACAAGCCCCGCTGCTGGTTTCACTACGTGGATGACACCTTCGTCATCTGGCCACACGGGCCCGACAAGCTCAAGGACTTCCTGAACCACCTAAATAGTATCCACCAGTGCATTCAGTTCACAATGGAAACTGAAACTGAAGGCCACCTCCCCTTCCTCGATATAGATATTTACAGGAGACCCGACAGTTCTCTGGGCCATAGAGTGTACCGCAAATCCACCCATACAAACCTCTACCTTAACGCTGCATCCCACCACCACCCTTCCAACAGGCAAGCTGCACTTTCCACATTGGTGCACAGGGCTACAGCACTGTGTGATCAAGACAGCCTACATACGGAGTTGGTGCTCCTGAGGGATGTATTCAAGAAGAACGGATATAACAACCGGCAGATCCACAGAGTTCTCAACCATCGGCCCAACATCAGCCGGCCTGAAGACAAACCAGGCTCAGTCGCATTCTTTCCCTATGTCAGGACCATATTCAACTGTATTAGCAGAGTGCTGTCCCGGCACAACATCAAAGCAGTGGGTCTGCCTCCAAACAAATTATCCAATTTCCTCTGGCCGGTAAAAGATAGCCTGGGCCTAAGGACACCGGGTGTATACAGTATCCCATGCGAGTGCAGCAAGGTCTATATTGGGCAGACAGGCCGCTCCGTGGACATGAGGTTGAAGGAGGATCAGCGGCACATCCATCTCGAACATCCAGACAAGTCGGCCGTAGCNCTACACAGGCCATGATGGACTAACATAACAACCCCCCCCCCAGCCTAAGGGTTAGTGCCCATCCTTTAACCCTGCCTTTCTCTCCCCCAACACAAAACCCTGCTTCTGTCCCAGCTCCTCCCCCCCTCCCACTCCACTGGTTTCACATGTAGACTTGCCCTTCCCCCCTTCCTTCACTGCTCTCACATAGCTGTGTATATTTCCAACACCAGTCTGCTTGTACCAGTTCTCATGGTCTCTTTGGCTGCAGATTTCTTATATTTTTCCTTCCACCCTGAAGATGGAGGCGACACGTTCCTCCGAAACGTCGGTTAACACCACATATACACGGTGCCAAATCCCAGAAGACTGCTTTCTTCATCTATTGTCCTGTTTGTATCTAAAACATCGTCCTGTTTATATTTCAAAACACAATGTTTCAGAGAATGAATTCTGTCTCCATCCTCAGGTAAAACCTACTCAGTTGGGCCTGATAGATAGAGCCAGTCCCTAGGTTTCACCTGAAAACAGAGACAAAATCCTATCTCTGAAATTTGGAAGTCACTGGTCAGTTTTTTCTTAAGGTACAACAGCAGCATTTTCCTTACAGGACTGATGAGGAGTAAGAACCATCTACCTAGAATTCAAATTGGGGCCCTCCCAAATATGAGTGATAACCACTACACTCCAGCATTCAGTATTATTATACTGACAGTGGCATACACATAACTTAAAACTATTGCAACTGCATTAAGCAGTTGGTATGAATGGCAAGCAGAATTATATTGAAGTTGACTGCGGTGAAACCACCTTTCCTAGCAGGATGGATTACATGTTTCTACATAAAAAATTAAAAAATATGTATTATGCCAGGGATGGAGACAGGTCTCTCAAGACTGCAACAGATTCCATTTTTGAGAGCTGTTACCCTTGCTTACCTTCCATAATTTAAACACAAAACATCTGTTACATTGGTGTATAAAAATAGGTCTGTTTCGACCAATATTCTACTATAAGATAAAAGTTCCGCTACAGTAAATATCAAATTAATCGACTTTCCTAATATCTTCGCCGTAAAACTCACTATGCATTTTTCAGAGTTTGGGGCCCAAATACCAGGGAAAATTAAAACCGTACGCTCTATTCTAGCACGTAACGTGTATACAGAAATTAATGCAACACTGACAGTATACCAATATATTTAAATGGTTTTTGTAGTTTGGTCAAGGCTCCTAAACACGCTTCGACGACAGATGATGTCCATTGGTTGACTTTGTTGTGTTGATACGCATTTCCTCCAATAGAATTTTCTATTGCTTCTTTAATTATGGTGCTAACTTCGTCCACCACAAATTGTGTCTGAAACACAGAAATATGTGTTTTCAGAATACATCATTACACACCTCAAGTACAACTAATCACAATATGTGCAATAAGAATAGAACTCAAACTTACTTCGTCGCTCGCTACCTCTTCCATTATCTGTCAAATTTCGGAACACCAGTCTTCCACTACACTGACGACCGCTGACGACATTGATCCGATTAGTACCCATATCGATAGCGCGGCTAATGTCGATACGGATGTACAAAACCAGTAAGCGTAAAATAAGTAAATTTCGGTTAAGGAGAATTTGATTGCAGGCAGTTGAATCATCGTCATCGTATATAATATTGCATAGTGTTAAAATTTATTGTTTTATGGCGTAAACACACACGTAATCAATTTACTTTTTATCATTACATGTCGTGCTTAATTAATTTCAATTCTGTAGTGTTGGCTGCAATTAACTTTCGATATTAATTGCACAATTAGTTGCGAGCGAAAGCGAATGACAGTAAGATGACTGAGTTATGGTGAGTGAGTGGGCTAACCAGAGTCGGCCTGAGAGGACACATAAATAGTAGTGGAAGTAATGATCGGTAATGATGCTAGAAGTCACTGTGTAACAGCATGATGGAATTTCACGATGTATCACTTGTTGAAAACTTTTAACAAGGCGAAAAATAAGGTTAGGTACTGTTTAGATTCATTTTGCAATATTTGCTCTTGTAATTACGATTCTTACAGTATCATTTGTTCTGTATTTATCCCCAGCACACGTTGTATAAGACTCTTGATGTTCTTGATGTCACAAGAACCAATTCACTTGTTACCCTAAGTAGTTCAGCAAATCTGGATTTTTTTTTTAATTAGGTGTCAACTGACCTTGGTAACATGCTTGAGGAATTCGTGGATTAATGACTGTATTATTAATTTATTGCGGGTATAATGCATTGTAGTGAAGCCTTGAACATTCACTGGAGGGCCTCTGTAATACAGCCAATCTGGCTGTTAGCACTGCTATGCATTCATGCATTTCCAAGCCTTGAAGTTGCCACCAATCTGATGGGAAAGCCTGGCGAGGGTTACTACATTGAAGTAGAAATTGGATCACCACCTCAAACTGTACGTTGATTTCTATTTTATAGCCTTGACATTTACAAGTAGAATAAATTTAGCAGTGCAAGGCAACGCCTGATATGCACAATGAAAACAACACACCTAATATATAGAAACAGCTGCAATCCAGAAAGATATGAAGGAATTTCAATGACATACCTTAGGAATACTATATAATTAGTGTACAGTGAATTAGAATCCTTATAAAGTGTTACCTGAAGATGGCCTTGTAAGGCCAAAACATGTAGTAACATAACATATATATGTGTGTGTGTATATATATATATATATATTAACGTTTTAATAATTTTAATAATATTGATACATATAATGATCATTGTATGAATTAATGTTATTAATTTGTTGCATTATAGACAAAAAGAAAACAACTATAAAAGGTACATCAATGCAACAGGATGCCTGAATATAATATTATGTCTTTCAGCTTATGTTAGGTTAGTTTAGGAGAGTGAAGTTCATTTTCTCAATGTCTTAGTTTAGGAGGATCTATACTGTAATCTTCATGCTTGCTCAGTGTTTAACTGTGGATTTGGTTCATAATAGGGATCACCTTTTTATGCAGTGGGTTGGTCATCTTAGTGATTATATAATATACAATTTTTCCTAATTGGTGTGTTATAACATTAAAATGTTTATGTTTTCAGTTCAATGTCCTTGTGGATACAGGTAGCACAAATTTTGCCATTGCTGGAGCACTTGATCCAAATGTGGAAACATATTTCATCAGTTTAAAGTAAGTATATCTAACTAATTCTAAATTGTAATTAGCAGTAAAAAATTGTAACTATTGTAATTTTAATCTACTTATATATCAAATTGTTAATATTCAGAATTAACTTGACTTGTCATATATCATGTACAATGATCTACAGTGACGAAATAAATAAATCAATCAATCAATCACAAGATATTAAGGGGTAGGACTTAGTTATATATTTTGAAGAAAATTGAAGTTATTTGTGTCCTCGTATAAGACATGTTAATTTGTAAGCATCTTATTAACTGTCTGTCCCTATCCACTCTCCATTTTTTGATGGCATGTTCTCATGCACTAGAAAGGCATTCATGTATATTGGTCATTAATTTAAGTTCATGGTCTCTTTTTTTTTGGGGGGGGGGGTCCCAATCTATTCTGTCTCTTTCGGAGAAAACATTTAAAATTTGTGGATGCTGAGGGATGAGTCCGGTAGTTTATGGTTTGTTTAATATCACTGTCAGTACTCAAACATTGTACGGTTAGTGAGTGATTACTCAGGAAGGATATGGGAAGTAGCAGTCCTGGTCTCATTCTAATTAATATTCGATCATTTACCTGAAAGGATTAAGGAAATGCCATGAGAGATTTCAGTCAAGGCTTCAGTCTTTTTGGATATGTACGTTATCTACCAACATGTCACATCTCATAAGATGGCAGTTTTAATACTTACCAACATAAGAAAATTGTAAGCTCTCAAGTCTCCAGGCTGAAATCTGAATTTGGGAACTTCCAAATGAGAGGCATAAAGTGCACTTCAGTTGATCTGCTGGCCATATCAGTGTCAGGAAGTGAAGGGTCTCAGGTTTTTTCAGCAGCAATTTAAGGCTTGAAAATTATGGACTTTACTGTCTCCTAGGATGTCACACCACACAGCATGATAGATATTTACCAACTTCTGAAGCGAACTTCAAGTTAGGTGAGTGGGGATAGTCATAAATATGAGAACCTCAAGTTTCAAATACTACTTGAAAGTCTGACAATGTGGCTATTTAAGATGCAGCATTCAGTTTCTATTACACAGGTCTGCAACCAAAAAACTGCATAGGATATTTTTACTGTTTCTTATAGATTTTTACTCACTAAAACCGGAAATAATAGTAAAAAAATCCATCACGTCAATTTTTTTGCAAAACTCATATAAACTCATATTTTTAGTTTAATTTTGCTTGAAATTTCTCTTCAACATGAAATCTTGTATCCTATTGTTGATTCTAAAAACCATATCCAATAATTATTTCTTATTTTAAAATAATATTTATAAGAGTGAATCTAAAAAATAATACAAATATAAAAT